ACCAAACTGCTTCAACACCCCGGGCTGAGTGGCAGCCCCAGCTGGACGATCCCTGACCCTACCCAGGTTCAGCATCTGACTCTGCCCAGACACTTCTGAGGCTTTTCAGCTCCAGCCCCCACCCCAGCCCCAACCAGTCCCCCCAACGCACCCCCCTCCTCAACATCTTGGAAGGGAGGGGGGACTCACGTTAGCTTTTTAAAACCTGAGTGGCCAGATCTAGCAGCCACCCACCCTGACCCACCGCTGGACTCAGAAAGCTCAGTGCACCTGCTCGGAGGAGTGGGCAGAGCCTCCCTGGACTTTGCTGGGGGAATCGCGGCTTGGGACCTCCCAACCCCAGCCCTCTGAGCTTTCTGTTCACTCCTCACCCGCAGCAGGAAAAACGGGGGAGGGGGCCTCCTCCCCTCTCCATGGGAAACTGAGGCCCGTGGGGCTAAAGGGGCAGCCCAGGGGTCACAAGGCATGAAAGGAACCAGAGAGGCCTGGCGCCCAGCCCAGGACAACTCTATTATTCCCTGTAGAAGCTGCTCTGGTGGAGGCCACTCAGAGGCAGATCCCGGCATTCAGAGCCCAGACCACACTTGCATGTAAATGCCCTTCAGTTTGTTAAGAAGGGTGTAGAGGGAGCTATAGAAAACAGGAGAAAGAAGGATGCCCCCCCCACCCCCCGCCTGGGGCCGCCCCCAGCTCCCGGGTCCAGACAGACACCCAGCATCTGGTGGTGGCAAAGATAAGTGGATTCTACCCAGTTCTGAAGGCCCCTGAACTCACGCCTGCCCTGGACCCCCACCCCAAGTGAGGTCCCCCTACACCCATCCACCCCCCCCCAAGACGAAACAGCAGGTGGGCGGCTGGCCCTGCCCCAAAGGTCCACAAAGGCCTCTCAGTCAACACCCCAGGATCCTGACTCCCCTCCCTGTGACAGGCACAAGTTGGAGAGAAGATGGGGTGGCATTTATGACCCTTGGGTGGGGTAGGGTGGGGGATAAACCAACCCAGCCAAGCCACAGGGTCCTCTTGAGCTTCCTGGCTTTTTCCTTCTACCACCACCTGTAAACACCCACCTCTGACCTGCACCTCAGTCAGCTTCTTCAGCCAGAGACTTTGACGGAGCAACATTTCACTCAGGCACGCACGCCCCTGTGCACGGTGTGCGTGCGCAATGCCCCACCGGCACGGATTTCCGAGGACAGCCGCCCCCCCACCCCGCGCCACCTCCCAGACACAGCCCACTACGCGGAATCGCTGTGTGGGATCGCAGCACGGAGCTCCCGCACGTCAATACGGACTGGGTTTCTCTTTGCAAACACACGCATTTACACTCACAACATACACCCCAGTCCCACGTTCAGTCACACCCAGGAGTCGCGTCCTGATCCAAGCTGACTACGGGATTCACACCCAGCCCCGGACCTACTGACCTTCCGTGACGCCGGCGCCCAGCTTCACTCCACGATGTGGACGGAATGTCAACAGTCAGTCGCGGCAGCCGTCTCCGCCTGTGAGCCCGCCACAGCGACGTCCACGGTCTCCATCCGGACCCAGGCCCCCTCCTCCGCCCCGGCGGCGGCGGGCTGCTCTCGCCGCCCGCCCAGCGCGTGCCCCGTCACCGCCGCGCGCACACGCGCACACCCGGCGGCGGCTCAGCGCGCACCACCAGGCTGCCCCCGCCCGCAGCTGCTGCACACCTGGCGGGCCCGCCGCCAGAAGTCCGCGCCGGCCAGGGGCTGGGGTCCTCCAGCCGCCACCCGCTTACTGCGGGCCGCGCCCACCTCGCTCTCCGGTCCCCGAAGCGCGGCCGCCTCGGGCCGGCCCTGGTCCCAGTGGTGCCCACAATGCTCGCCAAGCGCCGCCGCCGCGCAGCTGCCGGAGAGGGAGTGTGAGGGCGGGCGCCAGGGCAGACGAGGACGCCGGGGATGGGAGGGGGGACACCGCGGATCCTGAGCGCCGCGACCGACCGCCTTAGGGACTACCCGAGGCGGCTCCTCCGGAACAAAGGTGCAGCCGGGCAGGCGCGCCCACGGGACCCAAGGGAGAGAGGCGGGAATGGCCCACCTGCCCAGAGAAGTTCCTGGAGAACGGGGCCCCGAGGCAGCGGGGAACCGAGGTGCAGGAAGATCCCTGGGTTCCTGGTCTACTGGAGACATTCTAGAGCCATCGCCAGCTCTGAGAAGGGTGGAACTAGGGAGGGGACGCAGTGCTCTCTGCACTTGGAAATGGGAGGCCTCAAGGATGCCAGAACTCCTAAAACTGCCCCTGCCTTGGACCCGGCAGCCTGGGGCCGTCATTCATTCACTCCCCACAAATCTCGCCTCCTGCCAAACCAAGGATACTCATGAACTTGAACGGGGTTGAAGGGAGGAAGATCTCCTAGGCAGCCTTTGGGATGCCCAAGTCTCTTCCTTTGTAACCTCCAGGGAGGGCGGCCTCTGACTATCGCAGTACCACTCAGCGATGGAACACTCACTCCCTAAGGTGGCAGCCTTCTCTGTCCTCAGGCAGCTAGCTCTCAGCGCTAGAACGCCTGTCCTTTCACCGCCCACAAATCAGCTTGCTTCTGCCTGATGGCCATGGTCTCACTCTGCTCTGGCCGCAATGGCGTTCTACTTCTAGAACATACTTAGGGCCTTACACTAGCTGTTCCTCCTGCAGGGACACTCCTCCCCCCATTTCCTGAGCCCCTTCCCCACCATCCATGGAACACCTCTCACCAGCCCTTCTCCACATGGCTACCCCCTTGTGTCCTTCAGGACTCAGCTCAAATGTCACTTTCTCAGGGTGACCTTCCACCTCTCCCAGAGTTCCACGCCCCCACTGGCCTGTCTTTATCCTGACACCCTGCTTCAGTTTCTTCAGCACTCTGAAAGTTCGCACTGAGATGTCCCTGTCTGAGTGGCTACAGTCTGTCTCTCCCACTGGAATGTGTGCCCCATGGAGGCAGGGTCCTTGTCTGCCATGAGACTAAAGGCACTATGACCCCAGGGTCTGACCCACAGCAGGGTGGACGGAAGAAAGGAGACAGGTGTGGCCAGCCCGTGGTCTGAGTCCCTTCAGCAGCCTTGTCCATCACCTCAAAAGGCAATCTACTCAGCTGTTCAAGGGTAACATCTGGCACAGTGTTAGCAGGGGAAAGGTGCTCAGTTCTCATCCACCGTAAATGAACAGATAAAGGAGCATTCCATTGCAACTCCGAGACTCGGTACAGAACAGCAGGTCCCTCGGTCCCTCGCTCTGGACTCTGCCCTGAGCTCTCGCAGCTTCACATGTGAGCATTTTCTTACAACCTAAATCAAAGGGCCATACCCAAGCTTCTGGTCTATGGGAACCCCTCAGACAGCTCTGGTTCCCTTGCCTTTGGCCCAGGCGCAGACAGGACTGAAAGCCAATTGCACCTCCTGCCCCTGGACCTGGAATCCAGCCTCCAGGGCAGTATGGACCCCAATTCTGAGATCTCGGCTGTTGGGATGGTGGTGCCCAGGTTCCTGCCATGAGCAATGGCACCAGAGTGCTGTCCCCATCCTTCTTCATGGAGCCACTCGTAAACACGCTGAGCAGGCCTCGGCCAATGGCAGCTCACCCGTCAACCTCCCTAGCTGGGCCATCTCCCAGCTCACGTTCCTGTGTCACCTACAAGGCTTTGTGGGAAGGAAAGAACTATTTACTGCTGGGATTCACAACTCCTGCTCCAACCCCCGTCTTTTCTCTTCATTATTTGAAATCCTCCCCTGGAGGTCCGGGCACCAGTTCCCTAAATGCCAAGTGTCCTCAGGTGGCCTGAGTCACCTTTCCCAGGGTTCCTGGCATTTCCACATCATCATCTAATTATTTGTTCCTCTTCGGACAAAGCTGGATCCAGAGTATGTACCCACCTCCCTGCTTCCAGGACCTTGTGAAATCATCAGTGAGATCACAGGGCAAGAGCAAGATGCACTGCTCTTGGCAACTAGGATTCCTGGCAGATGTCCGGTGAGGTGAAGGCGTCCGTCATGCCGACACTGTATCCCTGGGGCCAGCGTGGGGAGCTGCAGTTGGAGCATCACCCCTGCTCTCCGGCTGGCCGGCCCATGGTGCCAGGGCGCATCCCTCACTGGCATCACGTCCATTCCCTCCCCTTCAGCCGCCCCTGGGGGAGAGACCTGTCTGTTCTTGGCATCAAGGGTTCTGTTCATTTAGAATCCAGTGCAAAGAAGTTGTCATGGGGAAAGGGGGAAGAAAGGTTCAGGATCAGGTCTAACGGAAGCCTTGGGAAGGGGTGTGGCAGCCTCAGGACCACCCAGGAGATCTCTGTAGAGACCCCTAGGTCTGGTCACACCTGTCCACAGTATGAACAAAGAGTGGGCAGGGCCCTGGGCAGATGTCCCAGCCGGTCGGAGCGTTGTGTCCTGTACACAGAAAGGTTGGGGCTGTGATTCCTGGTCGGGGCACATATGCCAGGCAACCAATCAATGTTTCTCTTTCACATCAATGTTTCTCTGTCTCTCCCCCTTCCTCTCTCTAAAATCAGTAAACATATCCTCAGGTGAGGATTTAAAAAAAGAGTGGACAGGAGCATAGGAACAGGAACCTGGGCCAGGAAAAGCCCTCACCCCCCCATCGCATCACATGCAAGGCGGGCTGCCTCCCCCCAGGGCCGGGCACGGGCTGCCCAGCAAATCTGGCTGCCATTCTCCTGCTTAAAGAGGAACCAGCTGACCTCCTGGCTTTGGGAACCTCTGCAGGCTTTGCTTCACTCGAGACTCATGATCTTCCTCATAGAAGGAAGGGAAATTATGGTCATACCCATTTTACAGAGGAGAAAGCAGAGAGAGTGAGCAGCCTCCGATCATTGAGCGCATTCTCCACTGGACAATCTCTTTCCAGGACCTCGGAGGCCTCTCCACCATGGGGGGCAAGTGCTCCCCAGTGTGGGCTTAGGGACCAGGGTGGCTGCATAAGCACCGCCTGCGGGGGCCTGGAGCCTAACTAAAGAGTGGGATTTAGGGCTGTGGGTCAGTTACCTGGAGGGAGACTCAAGGTCAGCACGACTGAGGATGCGATGGTGTTGTGGGCTGTAGAGCCACTGGAAGGCTGTCAGCGTCCTCTCCTCGATTCGGAAACGCCCTTCCTGCACGTACCTGCGGGACAGGAGAGAGTGAGGAGGGAGGGAGGGAGGCAGGGCACTGCGGAGCTTTTTCGGGGAACTGGCCTGGCTTGCTGGTAAAAGATAGATGTGATGTACCTGTCCCCAAATATCCCCCCTGCTCATTTGCCAGAGAGCCTTGATTCTAAGGGGCCACAGTGAAAATTTCCTGAAGAGGAGACAGCTACAGGGAGCAGGTTTCAACTCAGTCGATGGAAACGCTTTTTAAAAGTTAATTGTCTGAAGTTGAAAGGAAGTACTTGGAAGGAGTGAGTCCTTTGTCACTGGAGGTATGTAAGCAGAGGGTGGGCAGGGGAATTCAAGCATCAGATAAGGGTCCCTTCTCCAAGTCCCCTACATACTGAGACACTGGACTTCCTGGTTTCACAGCAGGAGAAGGGCTCCTCTGGAGAAGGGGTCGTGGGTCAAATGTCAGGCTTAGGTCTCCAGCAGTTCAAGGGTCCCAGCCACCTCCCAGATAGACAGTCAGCCTACGGTAAGGATGGGGGAAGCTGGGCTGGGCAAGGTGAACACGAAAGGATCTCTCCCGCTCTGGCCACCTCCTCCTGGTAGAACCATGCATCCGTTACTTAACTCAGCATTCAACTGAGTGCCTGTGATGATGAACAAGAAACTTAGTCCCTGCCCTCCTGGAGTTTCCACTCTTGTGGGAGAGAGACCACCAGCTAACAACAAGAACAGACATATCATTACAAACAGGTCCCTTTATACATTACCAGTGGGAGTGTCAGCGGTACAACCCTTCTGTAGGACAGTGGGACAATGTCTGTCTCAGTTGCAATTACACTTCCCCGGAGCCCAGTGACCCCCTTTTGGAGAATTAATCTACAGATTCTAGCCCATGGACAAGGTTACCTGTGACACTACTCATAATAACAAAAGACTAGAACACAATCCAAGCTTTCATTAGTAGGGGACTGATTACATAAATTTTGGAGCATCCATATAGTAAGACAGTGCACAGCCATTTTTTAAAACTAATGTTTCCGATGAGCGTGTTCTCTGTATGCAATCAAGCCATGATCTCCATCCAGGATACATTCTTAAGGTTAAAAAAAAAAAATCAGGTGCTGAAAGAGCAGTATGTGTAATTTATGTTAAAAAGGGGGAAGGAATAAAATACACATGGATGTTTTCTTATGTTTATGTACAGAAACTCCAGAAACACAAAAGGTAATGAGTATAGTTATCTGGGTGGGGAGAAGGGGGAACTGGGTGACTGGGGGCACAGGGGAGTGCCTTCTTAACAATGCGCCTTTCCATACAGGAGAGGTATTACCTATTCCAAACGTTTAGTGTTGGGGGGGTGTGCTTACAAACTGCATAAATCGCTATGAAAATGAATCGCGCAGCTGCTCGGACACTGCCCCATGGGGCACAGACCACTTGCTGGGCAGGAGATTCCCCAGGAGGCAGGCCTGCCGGCGGGGAGAGGGCTCTCCTTGCTCCCGCAACCCCCCTGTCAGAGCATCGCCCCGCCAGCTTCCCTTTTCCCTCCTTCACAAGATCCGACGGGCACTTTGGACAGATCACCGGGCGGCTGGGTGGAAAATGGCCAGGCAGCCAGGTTAGATGCTGTTGCAGGTGTCCAGGTGGGACAGTGGTGACTTGTGAAGGGGGACAGTGCTGGAGACGGAGTGAAATGGGAGGACTCTCAAGTGAGCGAAGGAGGCAGTGCTGGCCAGGCCTGGTGACGGGCTGGGCACGGGCGAGGAGGAGACAGGCAGCAAAGTTGTTCCCAAGTGCCTGGTTTGTCCGGGCGGCTGGACAAGGACAGGTCTGGGAGGGACGATCCTGATTTGAATTTGGGAATTGGCCCTCCTCTGTGACCTGTTTCCTGCCCCAAGCTGACACTCCTCCTGTAAAACCTGGCTCCAAACCTGGCTCCTCCAGGAAGCCCGCCCTGATTAATGCCATCCTATCTGATGAGGTTTCCACGCCTTTCCCTGTCCTTGGGCTCCTTGGGACTCAGCCTTGAATGACTCACTCTTGCCATCTCTGTGGGAGCAACTAACAACACCACCGGCCTTGGAAGAAGAGCGCTGAGAGGCCGGGGAGCACTGCGGCCGCTGTGATGCTCTCCAAATTTGAACCGTGGGAATATACTACATTTTCAATGGTTTTTTAATTGGAGAACTCTGCTGATCATGAAGTCTTAAGTCATTAGGGGGAAAAAAAAAAAAGAGGTCACTTAACAGTCCAACAGCTTTATTTTACAGATGAAGACAAGAAGCCCAGAGTGGGTCCAGGGCTAGCCAAACAAGCAGGAGCCAAGACCAAATGGTGGTGTCCGCTCACTCGCAGGCTGACAGACGGTGACCCCGCCAGGCACGCACAGGTGCCTAGGCTCAGAGAGGAATAGGCCCACGCAGGAACTGTCCCCACCCAAACCGTCTCCTCACACGCCACTCACCCTTGCCTCACACACAAGCCCCACCTCTGCCTCCTCGCCCCAGCCCACACCCAGCCGCCCTTCCTTGCCCCTCCCGCCCCCCCCTCGCCCAGAGACAAGTGGAAGGGCCTGTCCTCCACTATCTGCAGGCACCCTGACCTGGATCCTACTTGCTAGGATTAGCTATAAATCAGTGGTTTTCCATTGTAAGTCTCAGATTCCTCACCTGTCAAGTGGGAGTCATAATAATGCCCACTTTGAAGGGTTGTTACAAGGATTAAATAAATTAATGCGAGGGACGCTCTTTGCCACAGGGTCATCATCGACACCTTCCCTCCCCACCATCCTCCCTGGCCCTTCGCCAGTTCTAGGGCCTTACGTGCTTCACCAATGGCAGGCAACCCCATGCCCTGCATTCTCTCCTCTGGGCCTCACATCACACTCCTCGGACCTTGCCAATCCCATCTTAGGGATGAGGCAGAAGAGGCTTGGGGAAGGAAATGAATTTGTTGAAGGTCACTCACACGGGAAGCAGCAGAAGCCAGCCTTTCCTGCACCCTCAGCCCATGGCGCCCAGTTTCCTCCTGAAGAGTCAGCTCCACACGCACATATCCCCACTCCCTCCTCCGCAGCAGCCTCCCTTCCCAACAGTCTCCTCAGCTCCTCCCCGTCCCAGAGGGTGAGTGCCCTCCCACTGCATATCAAGTACCATCCAAACTGCTCACCTGAGACATCCTTCCCCACTTGTTCCCTTCCAGCCTTTCCCACCATTGCATGCCACTGCCTCCACCTTTACACGTGCAAACCCCTGCATCTCTGGCTGCCTATCCTTAAAACGTGCTCTGCCTTTCTTATCTTGGAGCCTTTACTCAGCCTGTGCTGTGACCCGAACTGCTCTCCCTCCGTCTCCACCCCAGACCTGCCCACCCAGCAGCTCAACCCACACAGCAGTTAAGCCCAAATCCCAGCCAGAATCCAAGTCAGCTCCAAAGTTCCCAGGATGCTTTGCTTAACCTTATTCACAGCGTTGTTCTCTGCTCGCCTGTGAGTTATTTATGAGCCTGTCTCCCTGCTAGAGTGCGAGACTGTGTCTGATCATCTCTGAAAACTCTGCAACATTCTAATGCAGCCCTCTAGTCAATGGAGCTGGCCTTCTGCAGAAATCACAACAGACGATGAGTGATCATCAACTCATAACATCCTTGGGAAGGTCTGATTATCTCCATTAATGAGTCCAGTTTAATTGAAGAAGTATATTTGCTGAATTGGGCCACATAGAATGTAAGAAAAAATAGAACACCTCCCATCCTCAAACATCTCCCTTATTAACCTGTCACGTCTCTGAAATTCTGTTGACCAGTACACTGGTCAGCCTTGTAAACCAACATCAGCCATTAAAACTTTAACAAAAACCAGCTTCTTAGATTCTCCTTGGGAGCGTAGGAGCCCAGAGACCTGGGCGTTGGCAGGGGCTTGCTGCAGGGAACGAGGCGAGAAGAGGAACGGTAGGAGCTGCCCACAGAGACAGGCTCCAGGTGTTGGGGTGGGTGACACCCCCAGGAGGATGCAACCCATCACCAAAGAGAGAAGGGTCTGGCCCTGTACAGGTTGCACCTGTTTTTTAAGTTGAACACTGGGGCAGGCCAGGCAGTCACTGAAACCTGAACCTTGACGACATGATGCTAAGTAGGAGAAGCCAGTCACAAAAGACCACATACTCTATGATTCCATCCATACAAAGCGTCCGGAATTGGCAGATCCATAGAGACAGACATTAGATTAGTGGCTGCTCACGGCTGGGGGTAGTGGGGGTTGGGAGGCAGTGGAGAAGGAGGACTGTAAAGGTCACGGGGGTTTCTTTTGAGGGTGAGAACAATGTTCTAAAATTGATTACGGTGATGGTTACACAGTTTTTTGTTTTTTTTTTATGGTTGCACGATTCAGTGAATACACCATAAACCATTTAATTTTACACTTTAAATGGGTGAGTTGTATGGTATATGAATTCTATTTCCATAAAGCTGTTATGAAAAATAAATAAATATCCATGAAGGTGTACTGAAATAAATCATTGAAAAATAAATGAATGGTGGAAAAGAGACAAACCTCTCCTGCTGAAGAATCCCAAACTGCATCTGTAAATTCTACGCCTGCGGGGAGGAAGCTCATGACTCCACTCTCCTTAAATGTGGGCTTCACCCAGCAACTTCCCTCCAAAGAGCGCACTGTGGAGATGGGTGGGGAGGCAGTAAGTTCACAGGAAGGGGCCCGACAAACACGACCCCAGCCGGGCGATCGAGGTCAACGTCAACAGTGACAAATGTTGATAGCATTTACACCCTTGGTACGATGTGATGAAGGTGGCACCCTGGCCCTGTGGTTTTCCTCCCAAAACTCCTAACTTCAGTCTAATTATGAGAAAAACATCCCAATTCAGGGACATTCTGCAAAATAGGACCAGCACTCCTCAAAACTGTCACGGTTGTCAAAAACAAGGACAGTATGAGAAACTGTCACAGCCAAGAGGAGCTGAGGAGGCATGACAACTAAATGTAGTGTGGTATCTGGAGGGGACCCAAGAA